TTTCACTCAGAATGTATGAAAACCTATTTTATAATTCTCTGGTCGCAACCCACCACTCAGAAGGTCAAGTGAGAGGTGAAAGGTCACTGACACTGACTAGGGGAAATGCAAGAGCGAAGCAGCAGTAACCCTGAGAGAAGGATAGTCAGTGGCATGACTGAGGTTCAGGAGGCTAACGCTAATATTGATAAAAATGTTAGCATAGATCCCGATTTCCTTTTTTGGTCAAGGACTTTTTTTAAAAAACATTTTATTCTTATTATTTAACATAAAGAACATAAATATAATCCTGTCTTGTCTTGTTGTGGTTAAAACCAGAGGAAATGAAGCAAGAAAAACAAACAACTGATAATAATGGTGAAGATGTGAACTGACCAATGAAACCATGGTCCTTTTTCTACACATCTAATCCTCCTTCCTGACCTTTGACCTGTGGTTCTCATATTGACCTCACTCTAATTTCCTTGTATTTCCTTAGTAATAAGTAGTAATTGATGACAAACGCTGTGTTTTTTACTCAGTACTATGTTGTTCCCTCCATGAACGTACTCTTTTTTTTTGTTTGCATTGTGCTGCGCTCAGCAGCAGATGGCGCTACAACACCAGGGAACAGTGGGAGTCAAAAAGAGGCTGGTGTTCGGTTCAAAGCTGATTGCAACTTAGGTAATTCTCTGGTAAAAAAAAAAAAGAAATCATGCATTTTCCACCAGTGCAGGATATTTCTGAGTTTTTCAAATGTTATTCATTTTAAACTGGATCGATTTCACATGCATTCGTTCCAAATGCTGGTGCAATGCTGTTATTTCATATGATTGTTTTCAACTATTGGCTGCTTTATCCAGTCAAATGGACCTTAACAGTCATTGCAGAAACTCATGTTTAGCTGTGATGACGTAACAGTGCATGGCTCCGACCAATCATGCAGTTTCATCACACATGCACTAAAACATTAAGGCAGACCAGCGCAGCACACATAGAAAATGATAACATTTTTTTTTTATTTCTTCTCCTGCTTCATCATGCAGTTCAAATCTAACCTGATCGGCCTCGCATGCTGCCGGACGGTAGCGCTGTGTTTATGATTAGCGTGTCAGGAGGGAGAAAGGACAGTTGCCGTCTGTGTGGGGTTTGTGTGCGATGCCGGGTGTAGCTGCCAGGGCGGGTGAACACCAGCAAACGCTGCTCGTGTTTGACAAGGGCCAGATGAATCCAGGAGCCATCGGTGGCCGCCCTGTAAATGGAGGAGGCAGCTGACGGCAGGGATAAACGTCTGTTTATGGCCTCGAGGGAGGATGAATGAGTCTCTTCTCTCTCTCTGTCTTCTCACTGTAAACAACCAAACACAGCACTACATAAACCTGGGAGGAGACGATGGAATCTGCTCCAGATACTACAGTAGGACTGAACTATCTGGTCTGGGTCTCTGTGTGTGTGTGTGTGTGTGTTAACATCATGTATACATTCATATTTCAAACACAGAACATATATTTTAAATGTTTTCTTCAACAATAATGCACTTTTGCCACATAGTGTCCTGTAGGGAAGGGCTGTTGCCTTGCAGCAAAAATGTCACTGGTTTGATGGTATGTTGCTTTGCTGTATGGAGTCAGGAGGAGTGAGGAGGCGGGTGAGGAGGGGGTTCTCCAGGCACTGCAGTTTCCTCCCACAGTCCAGAGACATGGAGGGTTAGGGAGAAAAACTTGAACTTGTAATATTGTGTTGGTTATTTCCAGGTATTGGTAGATGATGATGTAGTACTTGATGAAGTACTTTCCTGTTAAGGTACTTTCAGATACCGCTTTTGTCTGCTACAAAGTAATACACAGTAAAAGTTGTTGAGTACCTGCATTCGTGAACAGAGAAGATGAAGAGACACAAAGAGGAAACAAAACTATATCTTTTTTATTCAAGATAATTGTATTAAAGTATAAACTATATATGGTTGAGTAAAAAACTTTTTATTGGACCCTGTGAGCTTTGATGTTTGAGAGTGGATCAGTCTGGTCTGTCAGATACTGTGGAACAGAGGGCTGTGAACTTCTCAGCATAGTGTCACTGTACTCTTCAACTGTGCAATAATATATACTTAGTACCATTACCCTCCTTTAAGTAGTCGACATGTTTTTGCAGCTCACTGTAAACATTATCTGCTGGTGAAACAGTATAAATGTTTAAGGTCACTGTAGTTAAGGTCACTGACCTCTGACCTGAACTCCAGGTGATGAAATATCCTGACCAACTTCACCGTTAACTCTCTCGTCTGCGTCTTTCTCACCATGTTCCTGTTGTTTGAGATCCTCCGTGATCTCAGACCTTCTCACACTCTTCATTCTCCATTGTTTGGCAGTAATGGATGACGTTAGACCATCTTATCAAACCCGCTCAGTTAAAGTCACCTCCATCACCTCCATCGGCTCAAACCATTTCCTTTCCAACGCCCTGCACCCCAACCAGGACCCCGCGCTCATCACCATCAACGTCCCACTCGTTAATAACCGCAAAGGAAGCCTGCTCCCCGCAGGGCCCGGGCCGGGACTCGGTGTCGGGCAGGGCCCGGCCCTCGGACTGGTCCCCGACCCTTCACAGTTGCGCTTCAGTATCTCAGTCCCAGGAGAGGTGATGGCCCGGTCGGCGGCCGAGAGTCGTCTGAGTCGGGCCCGCAGTCTGCCGGCAAAATACCACTACCAGCCCAGTAGTGCCATGCTGCTCGGTCACAGTAGGCACTGTAGGTGGCGCCGTTAGCAGGAAGCATCAGTCAGTAACCTGCCACTGTCTGCATTTGTCCCTTCATCTGTGTCTGGTTTGCTGCATCTGTCTGGTCTCCTGGAGCTGGAGCTGCATGGTGTTAATGTGTGACTGAAGGAAACCTTTAACACGGAGCAGGAACTGGTGTCAGTGATCTGGTGTCAGTGATCTGGTGTCAGTGATCCAGGTCATTGGTGTCAGTGATCAGTGATCTGGTGTCAGTGATCCAGGTCATGGTCTCTTACCTTTGTCTAACACTGGAGAACTGAAGCTTGAAGCTGCGTTTGTTTAACTTATTTTAAAAGGTCATTATTAAAAAATGAAATAAAGAAAAGAGATCATAAAAAATAAGAGACAGGATAATAATATAATAATATAATATGATATAAAAGAAGAAAATGTGATGAGATAAAAACAAAGAAAATAAAACAATGGGTTTTTATTCCACAAATGTGCGTGTGACAGCAGCAGAGTAGAACGAAACAAACGAAGACAAAAAAATAATAATCACTGTTCACTAAAATAACAATCAACAAAAATTCACAGTAACAAAGAACTGGAACTGACTGGGAGAACTTTAGAAGAATTTAAACATTAATATAATGAAAATATCATGTCAAAAGTCAGCAGTTAACTCAGGTTTTTGACCTTGTTGTTGTTGAAACTTTATGACTTAACTCTGGACAATGTCTTTGAAACCAGGTCACGACCTCTGTCAGCTAATGGCAGCTAGCTTCTAGACTTTTTTAGGCTAATTACTTGTTTATACTTTATAGACAAATACCTTTGTCTACTTTCAACTCCTGGCTAATATTTCTGTTTGGTCATATTTGCCTTTTTACAGCAATTAATTTCACGCTAACTTTTAGCTTTGTTGTTACGATTTTGGCTAATTCATGTATAATTTAAGGCTCAAGTTTACTTCCAGACAACTTTGAATAGGTCTTTTTTTTAGCATATTTTAGTTGAGTTACTCATTACATACAGTATAAGTAACCTTTTTTTACACAAACATTGACGTGTTTGTAATCAGCTTCTATTTCTAACCCTTAAAAATGAACCACGTACTCGATGACCCGCTGCTCCATCGTTAACTACTTCTCACCCCAGTGTGTGTTGAGTGTTGAAAACCTAACTCTCGGGGTGGAGGTAGACCTGTAGAAGAGCCCGTGTCCACTGACGTCACCCCGGGAACGATGGGGTGGGCTTCAGGTGTCATGTTGAGTGAGGGGTCGGTCAGGGTTTCTGTAGAGGTGGGTTTGTATGAGGTACTTTAAAGGAGCTAACACGAGCTACAGACGCTAACCCTCGCTGTGGTCCCTGCAGGTGACAGACAACCTGGTTTAAAATGATCATAACAGCGACATGAAATTATTGCTATTCATTAGCAAGATCAGTTTACTGCTAATAATTTATCCTTCGATTCAAGGGTTTAAGTTATGGGATTTAGGGAATAATTGATTATAATCACTAAGAAATTGTAATGGGAAATAAATTCACTCTTGTACCACAAGAGGGAACCCATGTACCAGCAGTGGTATGCATACCATCTTTTGAGAACCACTGGTCCAGTTTGTAGGTATTGCGTAGCTGCAGTCCAACTGATGAAGTGACTCTTTCTACATGTGTTTTATTGTAACTTTAGATTAAATTTCATGACGACGTCTGGACGTGGACACGGTCCATGTCTTTGGTCCAGCGTCGTGGACACTCACGACCTCATACAACCCCTCAATACAAACCCCGTCCTGTCCCATTTAGAGTGAACCAAACGTCATCCTCCAGATCCATCTTTTTAACCTTGTGATGTCATCGTCACTGCTTCTCACTCATCTCCTCCGTCACCAATGACACGTCTGGATCATCTCATGGACGTCACTCCATCACCGTCACTCTGATGCAGACTGCAGGAGGTCCTACAGGCCTTAGAGAGACACCTGAGGTAAAGGCCTCAGCAGGGACAGATCAGGCCGCGGGTTTGTACCAGGAGCAGTTTATTTGCGTAAGGTTTTCCGATCGTAGACTGGTTTTTCCTCCGTGTTTCTCGCCTGCCTCTCTGCGATCTACCATCGCCCATTACTAATGCTTTCTCTGACTCAGATTTGACACTAAGCTGTTCATTTTGATTGGTCTGTTGAGTTTCTTTAGTTTTTTTTTATTTTTGTTTTGTTTGTTTTATTGGCGTCAGGTCCAGGTAACTTTCCCCTCGGCTTTTCCACTTCCTGTTTCTGATTTTTCTGTGCATGTGTTTGCAGTCGAAGACGAACATCATCCGTCCACACTGTCGCCCAAGAAAAAGCAACGCAACGGAGGGATGAGGAACTCGCCAAATTGTTCGCCCAAGATGATGGGGTAAGTGAAATTAAATTTATTTATTTTATACACAAACACAAGGGGGCGGTATTGGTCAACGCACCGGCTAAACAGTGGGAAGAGTTTTCTGGGTGAATACTTTCCTTCGTTCTTTTCCACAGTCCAAAAACATGAAGGGTTAACAGTTGACTCTCATCCAATCATAGGTGTGAGGGTCAAAGGTGGTACGTTGGTCATTAACCCCGTCTGTTTATATTCTAAGTTTAATGTTTTTTTACTTAATTTAGGTCAAATATCAAAAACAGTATATATAATTATTTTATTCATTTCTATGAATGGCTGAAGGATCCAGGCCACCGTTTTTTGTTTGAAATCCATCCATCCATCCATCCATCAGACCTGTTTGTAACACATTTCTGTTCAAACTTAAACTCGACTCCACTGCTGCAAAGTCGTCACATGTGGCTCCTCGACAAACAAATTCTAGACATTCACATTTTCTTTTTTTTCCAAACCACAAGGAGTCAATTACCAAGAATATGACTTCCATTTTTTTTTTCTGTTGTTCAAACCTGGGACTTAGAGGAAGGGGAGGAAGGGTGGGGGTGTGGGAGGGGGAGGCAGAGGGTGGAGACACTCAGAGATGGAAGCTGCCGTTGGTGAGAGTTTGGATGGATTGCAGGAGGAGTGAGGGGCAAATTAATGTTGGCAGGAGACGGAGGTGAGAGTCTGGGAGAGAGTGGAAGAGGAGCGATGCCCTGCTCTGCTCCAGCTGCCGGCAGTGGCATGCTGTCAGCTGTTAATGACGGAGCTGAAATCACATTTCCTGTCATGAAAAGCGACGGCAGCGGTGGAAGAAAAAAAAACAGAAAGAAAGAAAGAAACTCCTCCTGTGGCTTTAAAGTCACAGCTGTCACCTCCCTGGGTCTGGTCCACATGTAGTCCTTAAACAATGCTGGCACTAATGACACCGTCAGCCAATCAGAGCCCGCCTCGCTCTTCCCCTGCCCTCGGGCGAGGCCTCTGCGGCGGGAAACCTTGTGAGTGCTGATCCTGGTTCTCCTCTGAGCAGATGTGTGTGGGAGCCTGGTGATTAAATATGAATTCAGATGTCACCGTCCTGGAGAACGGGCCTGTGGTTCACTGGTTTAGAGGGATGAAAGGTTGACGGTTTAACTTCTTTACGTTTCCTGATGAGCCTCTAGTTCAGAGGTGGAGTTTGGAAGACGTCATGGAGATCTGTGGGACAGTCGTGACGATGAGCCGGTGTTGAGGTGAACGTTGTCACCAGTTCACAGTGAATAAGAACAGGAACATGTGCAGCACAGACCGAAGGAACCGTTTACAGGACCAATAGTTTTATTAATATAAATTCACTGTTATAAACAGTGTTATAAACAATCTAATAATTAAAGTCATGTTAACATGAACAAATACATTTAAAATAAATGTAATAATTATTGTTTATTGTTAATTTACCACAAACAATTGGAAAAATTTAAATCAAACAGTTTATCAGCAAACAAAATAAAATAAGTTTGACTTTAAAAATTAATTATTTAATAAACAATAATATTTATTATTTTAAAAACGTATAACTTAATTTCATGTGGAAATATGATGGAATATTAAAACAAATATTATTCATTTACAACTTTAAAAAATAAAAAATAATTTAAGATTATTGCTAAATTAAATAAATGAAATCAACTAATATTTATAATAATGATATTTGTTTTTACAGTTTTAAAATGTTAACTTTAACTTAACTAATTAAATAAACATTTAATTTAATGATATTGAATTGATATTGATTTTTTTTTTTTAAATCTTCTCCTTTAATTCTATTTCTTTTTGTCAAGTCGTCTTAGTTGATGTTGTCATAACTATTTCAGTTGGATGGTGAGGTCGTCTGCCCACAGTCAGAGAAGCTGACGACTGTAACACGTTCACTGTGGTGAAGTTCTCTGCTGCGTTTCTGCTCCGGCTTCTCTCCCTGAGGCGGTGTTTCTCCTCCTCCTCCTCTTCCTCCTCCTCCTGTGCTGCTCTGCCTCCACAAACTCACAGAAATCACCTAATAATCCTTCACACTTTGTCAAACCATTAGCCCAAACACGTCGAGTCGTAGCCTTCGGTCAGGTTTGCAGCCCAGCATCGTCTCAGTTGCCCGCGTTCTCAGGGCGGGAAAAAAAAGCTACGAAAACAAACGAGACGTTGGCGTTTTTTTTTTTTTTTTCAGCCAACTGCTCGTTTTCGTTCTTTTTTTTTTGTAATTGCTCTGTTTAGTTTATCCTAAAAGTTAGAGCGCCGTAAACCCCTTCATCGTCTCCTTTCTTCTTCTTCTCTCCCTGTGTTGCTCCACAGAACCTCCTCCTCTTCCTCCTCCTCCTCTTCCTCGCTCTAACATATGCATCTCATCTTTTTGATCTCGCTGTGATAATAACTCTCCAGCGTTATTTACTCCGTTTTTGAAAACCCACAGCTTCAAAGCGGTGTCAAAGTTTTCTCGGCTCCGAGGGCTGTTTCTGTATTCTGTTCTCGACTCTTGGGTTCTGGGAATGACAGCTCCTCTGTTATAGGTGCAGATCCTTATTTATTTATTTATTTATTTATTTCGGGGTTTGTTTTTTTTTCTTCCTGAGTTTCGCCTTCAGCGAAACATCAAATTACGCATCACAACAGTCCAGACCCCCCCTCGTCCGCCCCCCCAGATAACATATAACAGCACATATATTACACAGTCCTGTTGTTACAAGGTGTGTGTGTTTTATGCACAATGAAACGTGATTGTTTAAGGTTGCCTTAGGGATACTTTATTGTACAAGCAAGGATGGGGGGGTCGGGGAGGGGGGGAGTGTGATTTTTCAAGGAGTCGCAGCCTAAAGGCCTTTGTAAATAAATAATGATCAACAGATTGGCTGTGGGCTTTAAAAAAAGGAGAGAAAAGAAAGAGAAAAGCATGCCTTTGTCAGTTTGCATGATGGGTAAAAATGTTCAAAGCTGAGAAGAAGCTTTTCTGCCTTCACAGTGGAGTCTGGTAGGCTGGCAGAAAGGGATTGTGGGAGGACACCCATCCCCTGGTTTGTGAGAGTGATGTGGTGAAAAACTCCACTCTGTTTGAAAAACACACCTAAAAACACGAGGGCGAAGACTTTATTGAATTATATACTGTGGAATAAAAAAACAATCTGACTAAATCAGTTAAAATTCAAAAGGTTTTAGACTAAACACCACGTTATTGTCACATTAACGCTTTAATTATTTATTGCTGTCTTTTTTTTTTCCAATCCGACAGTCCTTCAAAATAATCATTTTTGCTTCTGAAAACACCTCCATGTCGGTTCACTGCTGCAGCTCTCACATGAACCTGAGCAGAAACAAACTGGTACTTTTTTACTTCTCATTTTAAATCATGGAGTACATGGAGTCTGAAGTATCAACAAAAAGTTGAAAACTTCATAAAGCAGTACTAAAAATGAACACAAATTCAAACCAAATTGTTAAGTCATGAAGTCAAATGTCTTAATTGAGTTTATGGTCAACCGTTCTATTCTGAGTGAGAATTTTAAGATGGCGCTGTCTTCACCGCTGTCCCGTCATCGAGTTCCTTCCTGTCCACGTTGCGGTGCTAACAATCTCCATCGTCACCATCTCACCGGAACACACCCATACTCCATTATTTTTTTACTGTTTATTTTTTAACATGACGTGACGAGCGATGACACTTGTCCATTGGCAGAAAACATCATTAACCGCTGACAGGCCCAGGGTGTGGCTCAGCACCGCGCTCCTCCGTCTGTCCCAGAGACACTGACTGTGGACGCAAACCCAGAGCAGGGAAAAGATGATGATGTAGTGAGGTGATGGAGGAGGAGGAGGAGGAGGAGGTGCACGCAGAGGAGCCCCCCTGACAGGCTGCCAGTCAATACTGTGGCTGACAGCTCTGTAAAAATAGCTGTGTTTGCTGGTGTGTTTAAACACCCTATAAAAAATGGAGGAAATAAACACAAAATTTGTTTTAAAAAAAAAAGTCGAAATTTAACTGAGACACGACAGAATATGGAATTAAACACCGCAAAATAAATAACATAATAAACCAGAACTGATCAACTCACAGCTGAGACAGCAGGAAGTTAGTCAGACCTGGTTACAGGTTTGTAAAGAGTTCAAATTAGGGTTATTAGCTACATGGCTAAAATGGCTAAATGCTCGTGCTAGGTTATTGCTGTTTTAAAGGTTAACACAAAATAGGTTAAAGACGGCTAAAAGTCGATGAACGCAAAGTAAAAAAAACATAGTTCCAATGTACTTGAGCCTCGTGGTGAAGGTTCAAAACCCGAGGCAGTGGTGGTGCCGAGAGTGGAGTGTTGTGAGGCGGGTGGAAACAGAGGAGCCCCCCCCACCCCCCTCCCCCCGACAGACTGCCAGTCACTGTTGCTGCTGACAGTTCAGTGAAAGATAGCTGTCTGTGGCAGCATGAAGGCTGGAGCGGCAGAAGAACCTCCCTCCAGTCAGTCAGCGTCTGCCAGTGTGTGAACGTGACAGGACGGGGGGCGAGGAGGGGGCGAGGAGGGGTCTCGGCGAGCTGGTCTGAGTTGATTGGCGCTAACGTGCGGCTCCAGGATGAAAGATGGAGGCTGAGTGTAGAAACACTAAATGCTGTCAGTGTGATTATCACCTGCACTGACTGATGGAGGGAAGAGACTGAAGGAGACGGAGGCTAATTGACAGTTTCACTCTTCTTCTTTTTTTTTTTTTAAGCAGCGCCAAACTTTTTTTTTTTTTTTTTTTCGCGACAGCTTATGCAGCCCAAATGCAGGCTGGGAGGAAGTGATGACATCAAAGCCCTGTCAGCGCATGACAGCGTTGATAGACGATAGAGAGAAGTGATACTGAGAGAAGGAGAGAGATGTACGTCAAACATTGGTGAGGTTCTCTCTGCACCTCTGTGCTGCAGCTGTCAGCTCCTTGGCAGCTGCCGACGCCTCAGCCGTGGATTTCATTATTTGGGTTCAACTGTAAATAAATTCCATATTTGCATCGCTGTCAGAGAAAACTACGTACATGGTTTAGCTGGATTTTATTCGTCTTCTGTTTTGTTATCTGAGCATAGCTTCAGATTAGAAATGTCCAAAGTCAGGCCTGCAGACGGAGGTTGGTACGTGGATTTACATTTAGAGTCAGTTTCTGTGGCCTGTCTGTGGGGTTCAAACTTACGTCTTCACAGATACTGAACACAGTTGAACCTGGTAAAAAAGATCAGCTGATCAGTGACATTTACCTTCCTAGCTACCTGTGCCTGTGTCTTAGCTAGAGTGTTTTTAAGTTCAACTGATTCAATAATTTGACTAATTTTACATTTACTGAATTTTGTTATGTTCAGGTAATTTGTTTGTGTTTGGAAGTTTTGACCATTTTTACAAATAAGTGATTTTTTTTCTCAAGGTATTTTAGTAACAAAAAACTCTAAAAAGCTAAAATAATGTATTAAATTCTCTCTGATATAATATTCTGGTGATGTTTAACAGTATTAAAGTATAACAGGCTCTCAGGTGTCTGACTTAATCAAACGTCGCCCCCTACTGAAGACAGACCACAGGCCTGGCTTTAACAGAACTGGGTGTTAACAGTCCTGACAGGAAGTCTTTTCACGGTCAGTGTTAAAGCAGATGAAGCTCAGCAGCCGCTCTGCTGCAGATTAGCCTGCGCCGCTGTGACGTGCTGCTGAAACATTCATGTCCATCAGTTGCTGAAGCAAAATGTGACCAGGCAAACTCCTGCAGTATTTAAAGTCGGAGCCCGTCGGAGCCTTTGACGGTTGCTGTGTGCAGCATCAGGAAGTGGAGGCGAGGGTAAAAGCTGGTAATTGGCCTTGTGCTGTCGTGGCGTGCAGCCAGTAGCGTTCAAGTCTCGACTCATCTCGCTCTGCGCTCCTGCACATCTGCAGACGCCGGTGTGTTTCTGCCCCCCTGTGGCTGAGTTATCAAAGATAAGGAAGAAAAAGACGTCATCGTAAATTAGGCTTGTCGACGTTAACGCAATATTAACACGTTAACGCTAACGACTTTCAACAGCACTAATTAAAAGTGCAATTAACACGTGTAACTTCTGGGATTTGATCCTGTGTTTGTACATGACACGGTCTGTGACACAGCAGTGAAGTGTGGAGGACAGAACCTTGGACGGAGGACGGAGGAAGATGACCTGGGAGTCAGGGCGGTGGTGGTGATGTGACAGAGGATGGATGTTGGTACTGACCTTAAAGGAGAAGAGCAGCATCTTATACTGTAGGTCATGTGATCCTCTGTGGAGTGATGGTTTCTCCTGCGCCTCCTGTCACCTCTGACCTCCTGTCACCTCTGACCCTCAGAGGTTCAGATCCAAACAAATTCATCTTCGCTGTTGTTTGTTTGTGTCTTCCTCAGTCGACACGACCCTCTGCTGATTCCTGGTAATGAGCAGATTGAGAACATGGACATGAACGTGAAGAGGTACGATTCCACCGGGATGTTCCACTGGTGTCCGTCCAAGGACATCGAGAAGGTCATCCTGGTGAGTGGAACAGGAGAGAACAGAACACTAACTTAAATATATTGTTATCATTTATTACAGCTCTTCATCTTCATCTCTTACCCCTTATGTGTTTTTTTCACAGACACGAAGTGAAGCCTCCATGACGGTGCTCAGCGGCCATGTTGTTGTCTGTATATTCGGGGACGTGACGTCAGCGTTGGTTGGTCTGAGGAACCTGGTGATGCCTTTGAGGGCCAGCAACTTCCACTACCATGAGCTGAAACATATAGTGTTTGTGGGTTCACTGGAATATCTGCGCAGAGAGTGGGAGACGCTACACAACTTCCCCAAAGTCTCCATCTTACCTGTGAGTGTCCACGTGTCTCCACTGTCAATTAGAACGATGACCGGTGGATAAGAACTCTAAGTCAATAATAACATTATTGATAACAATCAATTAAAAACGTTGGACTCCTCATGTGTGGCCGTCGTTAGTTGACTCAGGATTAATTGCAGATTGAACTTTTAAATTTTATTTTTGTGTTTTCTCTGTGTCTCCACTGAAGGGCACGCCGCTAAGTCGGGCAGATCTGAGGGCTGTGAACATCAACCTCTGCGACATGTGCGTAATCCTGTCAGCCAATCAGAACAATATCGACGACGCCTCGCTGCAGGACAAAGAATGCATCTTAGCATCGCTCAACATCAAGTCTATGCAGTTCGACGACAGCATCGGAGTCTTACAGGCCAATTCACAAGGTAAGGAGTGGAATCTGTTCACCTGGAGGGAGGGGCCGTGTTATTGGTCTGGAGCTGCTTCTTTATCAGCTAGCCTTGTGACCAAAGACGAAACTGTTGTTCAAATTATAGAAGTCTGGTAACGGCTACAGCTCTAATCCATGTTTAGTATTTTTAATTGTATTTTGTATTGTCGTTAGCTACTACTGTACAATGCAAAAAAATTGCAACAAAAAAAAAGTTTTCATCTTTTTCCCAATGAAAAGAGAAAAACCAAAAGTCTTTAAATTACAGTTTGTCACTCAGAGTCTGTGAGGCCGCGTTGAAAGGTTTGTTGTGAGTCTTATTGACAAACTAAATTATACGGTTGCTTCTGAAGACAGACAAATAAATAAAAACTAAAACGCGTCGATTGTCTCGTCGAGCTTTGGAAAAATGTCGACTCCGTGTCAGCTTCAGCCGATTCCCCTGCTGGCGTGGATGGTAATTACACACGCGCCGCTCCTCGTCCTTGATGATACTTTTTAATGATGTAATCAACATGGCGGTGTCAGTTGATGTCGCTCCCCCCTGATCCAGAGTCTGGCAGATCTTGTGGAACAGATTGTGGATGTTTGCAGACAAACACGTGAACCTGGCAGCCCATCAGCCTCATCATCATTAAACAGCCAGTACAAATCACCAGGCAGAGCAGTTCAGCTGCTGCTCATTAGTCACCACAAAACAGTGACACAGGCCATCACACACACACACACACACACACACACACACATTTGTAATTGTGTGTTTGCGCACATCGACTCGATGCTGATGCAGTTTATCTGTCCTCAGGGATGGGGGGGGTCCGTGGGGGGGGGGTGATTATCGATGGCTCCTCTGATAACAAAGAGAAGATACTCATTGATCCTCATGTTTATACTTGTGTGTGAAGGAAACTGACACTGGAGCCTGAACACAGACATCACCGTCTGAGTGACCAGGCGTTGGTTTCACTGTCGACGCAAAAACACAAAGCTTTGTGGAGAAATTCTTACAGTCTTTTTGTCCAGATCTGTCTCATCCAAAGGTCACCTGTTTCATTGCTGTCTTTCTGTATTGACTTCTCCTGTTGTCCCTGTGTTTTGAGGGGGGGGGGGCGGGGTTCATAGTTTGTCTAAATAATTCTAAATTGACAGCAGGTGTGAATGGTTGATTCTCTCCATATGTGTCCCAGTCATGGCCAGCTGTCCAGGGTACACCTCCATTTACTGACCTCCCCCCCCTCACACACACTCCTTTATGGTTGACCTTGAGCTCCATCCTATTAGCGCCACCATCCCAGTGACTGCTGTAAATATAAATCACAGTCCAAGGTCCACGAGGCTGTTAATTTTTTTAGTGTCGAGCACTTTCACGTTTTAGGAGAATTCCGATGCTCTTTACTTCTTTTTCCTTGAGTGACTGATGCACCGTCGACTGCCGTGTCACGGAGGAATAATAATCTGGGGGTAAATCCCTCAGTACAGAGCTTTGTTCTCCTCCGTCCTCCTCCAGGGTCGATGGATGGAGACGGTCGTCATCAATGATCGGGTCTAACATCAACCCAGCATTTGGGTGATGAATCGTTCACTTTAGAAATCACACAAACACCTCACAGTGACGTCCAGTCACACACACACACACACACACACACACAGACGGTGGTTGTTGTGGTAGCTACAGCCGGGGGGACCCCCCCCCCCCCCTCCGTGAACGTCCCCGTTCAGACGGTGTCTGTGGAATTTAAAACAAGAAGGTGCAGATGAATAAATAAACATGCACTTTCCTCGGGGAGAGATTCTCACGGCCGCCGTGACGTGTAGTCGACCGCAGGGCTCACGTGTACCCGCAGGGCACCGGCCGTCAGGAGGGTTCGTACCCCAGATCTCACTTGTCAGTTGTACGTGGAAGCAGAGCAGAGCAGAGCAGCGTTACTGCCCTTACTGTACAGAGACAGACATGAGGTCTGTCATCAGGTGTCGGTGCTGGACTCTGTAGGAAACCCACTGTTCTGGAGGCTCTGTCACACAGTCAGCCTGACGTTTTATTTTATGACGGCAGGAGTCTCCTCAGGGTCAGCTGTAGTTTGACGTCTTACATCTGACCAGACACTGCGATAAAATAAAATCAAAAAGAATAAAACATTAACATTATTATTTGATTATCTTGAAATTGATGGAGGTTGGATTTCAATTCAAAGGTGAAAAACAATGTCAAAAAAATGAACATCAGTTAAAAAATCTGAATTGAGCAACAAGACGTGAACTCTGAACGTAGCCTTAGCCTTTCCTTTTTGGCTAACATTTAGTCATTTTGTGGCTGACTCGATGATATGAAGTCATGTTTGGAGACTAATCAGGTCTGAAAGAAGCTCAGCAGCAGTTGTTGTGTTTCCCTGTTTAGACCAAAGATGTAAGAATACAATGTTGGGAATCTCTGCCTCCTTCATGTTCACCATGATGCAGCAGGAGCAGCAGGAGCAGCAGGAGCAGCAGGAGGGCGGGGCTTTTAAGGCCACACTACACAGTTTATATCCACAGAACCGGCTGTCACTCTCCAGCAGAGAGCGGCTCGTCCTTTATGGACATCGACTAAATGATGTTTTCTCCATCTGAGCTCACGCTCTCTCTGGTCGACTAGAAATGTCAAAACTCTGCTGTTTTCCAGCTCAGTAATTGGTGTAACAAGAGTTACGATTATCCGTGCTTCAGTGGCTGAGCAGGCGCTTCCCCGCTGCGTGCTAAACTATCGTGGTTGGAGATCTCTTTTGTAACGGCAGCAGCAGCTCATTGAGTTTCCTGACAGAAAAAGACACAAACACACAAGGAGATGTGCAGTCTTTTTACAAACTTTGTGACCCGAATATATTAGTGGTTTTTTTGTCTCAGCGTTGGTGGCAGCTGCCGTGGAGTTTCTGCTGTAGTCGGCACTAAATGTTGGAAGTCAAAACACGCTGGATGCATTATGCATATAGCATTACAGATTTAAGGTGTTTACTTGTCACTTTGAGGTAAAAAAAGAAAAGTCATGTGAATTCACCGTCTTGTCACTTGCGGTCGTGCCTGGTGTTTTTCCAGTCCCGATAAAAGGTTTTCCACGGGATCCACTTTACCAATTTTTTATCAGAACAAAATGAAGAACATGAAAAATTGATGTCCGTCCGCTGATGGACTGATGCAAACAGCGAGCGTGTCGTCTGTGACCTCTGAGAGCAGCAGCCGTGTTCACTCAACCTCCTCTGTTTTTATCTGTTCTTACTTTGTCTTTTGTAAATCGACTCTGAAATGACAAAAAGTGAGCGCATCAACGACTCCGACTCTGCTGACGGAGCCCACGTGCACTTTGTTTAATGTTGTTGACACAAACGTCCAGGTCGTGTCCCCGACGCTGGACCGAAGGAACTGTTCACTCGGTTACTGTAGTTCATATCTTTAAGATCACTTCAATGATCTGTTCACCAGCGGGACTGTCTTTTTTATTTTATTCCACAGTTTTTCATATATGAAGATTAACTCTCAGGGATCTGATCCTGGTACAGTACTACAGTACTACAGTACCACAGTACTACAGTACTACAGTACTACAGTACCACAGTACTACAGTACTTACCAAAGCACAGAATAGTGTTACATTAACATTGGTGATAAAATAAAAAGTTGCAGATGATGAACTAACGTAAACTGCAGTGTCGCCACCTGTCAGTGACAGTAAGTTACTACCCATAACCTCCTGGGAAATATTTAGAGTTGTTGACAATGATCTTTCTACTGACCTTAAATACTTGTATTTAACCCCAGTTATTTGTTTTCTTTTGATTTTAGGCTTCACTCCTCCAGGAATGGACCGGTCGTCTCCAGACAGCAGTCCAGTTCACGGCTTCGTGCGTCAGGCGTCTGTCACCACAGGGTCCAACATCCCCATCATCACAGAACTAGGTGAGAGGGTTCAACTGTCTGCATGTTGTACACAGCTCAGATTAACTACCTCAGATTAACAGCCTCAGATTAACGACCTCAGATTAACGGCCCCAGATCAACTACCTCAGATTAACGACCTCAGATTAACAACCTCATATTAAGTACCTCAGATTAACTACCTCAGATTAACGACCTCAGATTAACTCCATTAACCCATGAAGTGCTCATCATCCATAACTCTAACATTTTGCTGATTCCAAATTCTTTTCATCTTTTGAAGTTCGTGGTGTGGTTTTCTTTTTCTTCATCCTAATCTGTCAGTTCTTTCCCACCTGTGTGTCTTGTTCAGAGTAGTTTGGTGTTAGCCAATCAGGAATGATATTTTTTGGCCCTAACGCCACAACATTGTCTTTGTGAAGTTTGTGCTTCTCAGTGTTGAACCGCTGGTTACTGATAAAAAGAAAAAACCAACAAAAAAAAAAGAAATCACTGAGCGACTGTTAAACCCCTCCGGTCAGGGAGCAGTTTTTACTCAGAAGTTTTTGGAGTTCTAAAACAGTGACTTCTGGGGCTTGTTATTAAAACTGGATGGCTGTGCACATTTTCTACATAGAGTCTGTGGTTCTAACACGTGTCTGTGTAAGATTTAAAGACTAGAAAACATCTCTGAGGACACGTGGATGTTCTGTCTCAGTGTTAGGACAGGCGTTGGAGAGACCAGAGCTCCATGTCTTCAATTTGTCCATTAATGCATGAGAGAAACTTGTGGCTGATGGAGAGGAAGAAAAGAAAAGTGAGTGAAAAAAAAAAAATCTGCCTTGGTTGCAAAATGGGTCCATTTATTAACAACAATGGCAGTGGCTGTAATCCCAGTGGGGCCGGGGACTCATGAAAGTTTCAGATCTCTGAGGAGCCGTGTGAAGCACCAGAGACGGGCTACTCCGTCTCCCCTGACCCAATTAGGGAGCAACGAAGCGTGAGCTGGGCAAAAAAAAAAAAAAACCTCCAGAAAGAGAAAAAAGCTACTTAGTGTTCTTTGTAAACTGGATAGCCATTACCTGCAGAGAGGCTGTGCTGTTAGACCGCACACGTTAGCATCACAAACAAGACGCTAGTTGTCGTCTTAGACACCAGACGTGATGCTCTGAACTGATACCAACTTCTTTAGTTTGGGTTTAAACTTCAGCACAACATTCGTAACTGAGGTTTCTTTGCTGACACTGTATAAACCATGGTGATTTATAGAACTACAGGGGGCGCTAAATTCATTTATTTATGTGCTTCCTACACTGAAACGAACCCCAACTGAGCATTTGTCACCTGGTGTGAAATACTACTACAAACTCGCAGTATTATAGCTGTTAAATATTTTACAAAATGTTTAGTTATATTAACATTTGAAGACTTAGACACGTCTGTAATGAATTATTCTAAATCAATGCCCTGACCTCCGACCTCTACACTAACCAAAAATAATAATAATTCAAATGAACACATATGTAACAAACCCTCTGTGATAATATTCAATATGGTATAAAAAAAATGTTTTGTAGAAAAGGAACCTTGTTTGCTTTGGCTCAGTGTAAATTCAAGCGTCTGACGTGTGGTTTAATGTTACATTTTCATGTTAAGGTGGATAATTTCACAGCTCAAGCTCGACTAAAAGTGATAACATTGTCCTTGAGGAGCCTTGAAGTCAGAGGAAGGATAGGATCTGACGACATGTTCCACTGCAGCACCTTGTTGTGTAATTACAGTGTCACATGTTCAGTCTTCGGTGCCAGGAACAGATGAAAGGACCTGGTTCTGGGACGTTTGATGGTTTTAGTGAGTGTGAGGTGTGAGGCGGAGGGGGCGTGTTTCCAGATAAGACCCTCTCATCCCATTGATGCTGCCTTGGTATGAAATATTGAATTGTGGCAGCAGCAGGTTGAGGAGCCTGACTAATCCCAGGTACTTTACCTCCTGACACCCGGACAACCGTGGATGTTTGGCGAGTTCCAGTTTTTGAAAGTGTTTCAATAACGAACAACGTCTCTTCCTCCTCCCCCTTTTTTTCCCTCTTTTTCTGCACTTGTCTCATCGCTGTTAGCTAAACCTGGCAAACTGCTGCCACTGGTTTCACTCAATCAGGAAAAAAAGAGTGGAACCAACATACAAATGATAACAGAGCTGGGTAAGAAGCCTCCTTCTTCCGTCCGCTCCACATCAGCTTGTCTCAGTCCAGGCCTTCGCTGCTTCTATGGCTTTTCTTTGAACACATCTTTGGTCTTTCGTTCCTTCTGGTTGAAAGTGTCTGTTGTTTGGTTCCTTCTCCGTCGCTCTCTTTTTTTGTTCATGATTTTTTTTCTTCTTCTTCTTCTTCTTCTGCAGTTGTTTTTGCAGAGCTTTGATCATGCTCAGTCTGTTCTTGTGGCTGTGTTCATGGCAAGCCCTCACCCACCAATCTCCCCGAAAATCCCTTACCCTTCCTCCTGGAGACAGACACACACACAGAAAGAATCCACCCCCACCCTCCCTCCCCCCCCCTTCCTCTGGCCTGGGTCTGTTTGCATCAGCTCCTCGTTTCTTTGACTGACGTTTCTGTTCCACAGGAGGTCGGGGAATTAAATCAGAGTTCAAAAACACAGAGAGGAGCTTAGGCTCCAGGCAGAGCTTGAATGGTCTGAACACCTCCCTGTGCACGTCAGGGTCTGAAGCCACCGTGACTACGACCAATGACGTCGCCGGGGACAGAGCTCTGAATGTTGTAGAGGAAGATTATATGTTTATAACATCTGTCTTAGAACTTTTTTTTTTCCCATGACATTCAGAACCAGAATCAACAAAATCAATTTGTGAACTAACTTAACTAACCTACTAACTAACTAACTAACTCACTAACTAACTAACACACCAAACATAGCGTTAAAATGTTAAATCCAGCCTTTAATCAATTATTAATAGTGATTCCTAATAGTGATTTTTTCTCCGTCACCTTCGCAGTACAGTTCTTTACACTCTATACAGTACGAGTAAATATATTAGTATAATCTCACAAAAACATTAAGTGAGAGATGTTTTGTTTTTGGCCTCGTCTATAAAAGTCCCAGCGGCCGACGCACTCTTTAGAAAAACAGTGTGAGGGAACAGGACGTAGACTGTTGGGAGCACTTGAGGTTCTTTATTCTACCAATTATAGCCTGCATGAGAGGCAGAAACAGCCTTGTTGTGTCAGCCTGGAGCCAATTCCAGTCACATTCTGCACTTGGGTAAACAGAGCAGACTGGATTCATTATTAATCAGGCCAGAAATGTAAAAGAAAAAGAGCAGCGTTACCTGTTGACTTCAATCGGACTTTCATGGTACGAGTAAATAATGGAATTAATAATGAAGTGACAAACACAGCCTTTAAAGAACGGCTGCAGAAACACATGGGTTTTCACCAGTGATTCAGTGGCTGTTGTTGAGCTGATGTTTGGCCTTATTTAAGGTGGAATTTTTACTGTTTATCATCATAGAGAATGTGTTTGTTACGGTGCATTCATTTGCTTTAGCTTTAGCATTGGTAGCAAATTGTAAACACGTATTTTTGTGAACTTAGTTATTAAAGCAGTTCAGTTTCTTCTGATGTAAATGATACACTACACAATCGTTCAATGAAACTTTTTATTTTGGAAGTTGAACCTCCGGTTCATTGGTCGACACTGGACAGGAGCGTAGAGTTCTGTTTGTTGGGTGTGTAGCTAACGTGGAGACCTTTCCACTCCTTCCACAGTGAATGACTCAAACGTTCAGTTCCTGGACCAGGATGACGACGACGACCCAGACACCGAGCTGTACCTCACCCAACCCTTCGCCTGTGGCACTGCCTTTGCCATCAGTGTTCTGGACTCGTTGATGAGCGCGGTGAGTTCTTCCTCTAATTGTTTTTGTAAACCTCTCACCTCATTGAACAAAATCCATTTGAAATCAGTGGATTTATGTCCGTTGTTTACGTCAATCCTCACCTGCAATAAAAGGTTGACGTGGTGCAGGGTAGGTTCTAAACTGGCCTCGGTACTGAACCCTGCAGGACACCTTGTGTAAGTGAAGAACTTCCCATTCATTTGTGGTCTTGGCCAACAGGCCTCATTCATATACATGAGCAGGTAAAAGGAGCTCCTCCACAGCCCTCCTCCTCCTTATTGCCCTCCGTGTCACCCTCTCCTGCTGCGATGGCTTCATTGCCTCACTCTCTCTGTGAGTGAGAGGTTCGAGGGCCATGCAGAGCTGTGCTCAGAGTAGAACCGGCGTCAGCTGTAGTCTCTGGCTGTGGTCAGGGGTGAGCGTGGCTAATGGACAGTGCTCATCCATCATGATGCTGCACAGGCCTGTCAGGGAGTCCACTGAGAGGAGCTGCCACTCCAGCCACACTGCAGCCTGACATTGTCCGTCAGCAGGCGGCGCAAAAGGAGCAGTGAGCACTGACGCACCCACAGACGCACTCACACATGTCTGAGTCTGAGAAAAAGAGTTCCACCATCACAAACTGTGATGAGTAAAACAAACAGGACTGTGGATAAAAAAAATACAAACTGCAGAGACAGAACTGAGGGAACTGGATGTTTTTGTGTTATTTTGCCTGTGATTGATTGATTGATTGATGAAGTTGATTCATCTGCTGTTTTCTGTTCCAACCAGACCTACTTCAATGACAACATCCTCACACTGATTCGGACACTGGTCACAGGAGGCGCCACCCCAGAACTGGAGGCGCTCCTGGCGGAGGAGAACGCCCTGCGTGGAGGCTACAGCACGCCACAGACACTGGCCAACAGGGACAGGTGCAGGGTGGCTCAGCTGGCCCTCTACGACGGACCGTTTGCAGACTTGGGGGTAGGTTTTTATATCTACAGAGGGTAGAGAACGTGGTTGGAGATCACACCGTGTTTTTCTATAACACCTGTCTTCAACGTGAGCCTAAATAAATGATATTCCTGTCCTCCAGCACCAAACCCAACGTGGACACACAGGGCTTCCCATTGTTGTTGTTTGTCTTGATTAAAAACGCTACTAACTGTAACCATCTGTTCATCCAACCGGTGGGTTAGCCTCAGCTCTGACAACAGTCGAATCCTGAAGCTAACTAACCACACCGTTGTGTTTGTCAGGATGGAGGCTGCTACGGGGATTTGTTCTGCAAAGCGCTGAAGACGTACAACATGCTGTGCTTCGGAATCTACAGATTAAGAGACGCTCACCTCGTCGTACCCAGCCAGTGTACAAAACGGTACCAGCTTTGAAGTTGTGCAGTAAACACAGGGACAAAAGGACATTATTACTAATTAATAGAAACAGAAATGATAGATGAATTACCAGCTAAGATGGATGGATGGTTGGATGAACAGATGGATGTTTAATTGGGTCGTGTATTTTTCTCTTTTTGCAGTTATGTCATCACAAACCCACCGTACGAGTTTGAGCTGGTTCCCACAGACCTGATCTTCTGCCTCATGCAGTTCGACCACAACGCAGGACAGTCCAGGACAAGTCTGTCCCACTCGTCCCACTCCTCCCATTCCTCCAGTAAAAAGAGCTCTTCCGTCCACTCCATCCCACCGTCTAACCGGCAGAACCGCAGCAGCAAGACCCGCGAGTCCCGTGACAAACACAAGTAGGTGCTGTTACTCACATTTACGGTAGAATTTACGGCTCAATCCCATCTCACTTTGTCTGTCCACTGTACAAGTGGACAGACAAGAGTCTCACTGGGGATGAATTCTTTGTCTTCAGTCTAAAAGTATGAGATATATTCTATATATTTTTTTGATAAACATTTAGCTTTTTTTCTACTGTGGTAAAAAGAACTGTCACATCAAAAAAAAATCCTATTGTTTTTTTTGTTGTTGTTTTTTTTTTTTTTTTGACATTTTACTGTTAATCCGACAACTACACCATGAGCTCAGTCCTAATTGTCAAAAGTCAAAACAGGAAATGGGATTGGACACTGTAGCCTGCATGATTGTTAAAACACCTGATCTGTAGTTTTATACGTGTGTGTGTGTGTGTGTGTTGTGTGCAGACATGAGTGACACCGATGATGACCTTGTGTTTGTGTGTCTGTGGTCTGTCTGTGAGACCTGTGCACTGCGTCCATGCCCAGTGTTTGTGCGTTGACTTTCTAATCATCTGCATGTGGTGTTTAATCCCATATCACAGCAACCATGACATGACATGACATGACATGAGAGTTACTAATGAGACTGACTCCCTCTGTAGACTCTCTGCTCCCGTCGTCTTATTCTCACAGACTGTTTTGTTGGATTATAAACAGAGAATCTGTTTGTTTGGAAAACGCAGCGACAGCATTTGGAGTAAACCCTGAAGGGCACAGGAGTGAATGATTATAAAACACAGCACAGATTCACTCTGATGTCTGGACTTCCTGTTGGGCTCTGATCATGTGACTAGTCCTTTCGTGTCTAAATTAGTGTTAGTCTACGTTGGTGTTCATCACCATTAGAATCTACCCTGACTTTAACCATTAGCCATATCTGTATTATCTTAGTTTTAATCCTAATCCTAATATATATATATTATCTGACAGTGTCCCCACGAGGACAAGTGTCCCAACAAAAACAACGACGACATGTCAGAAAACCCTGGACTCTCTGTGATATTTGTGTATTATATAAGTGTTGTTAATGTGACATGATCAGTTGACCTGGATCATGGACGTTGACCTGTGACCTGTGACCTGTGACCTGATCTTCTAGAGTAGAGTAAATATACAGATTATACAGCACATTTCATGAGCTCATTCCTCATTAGCAGTGTTGATATTTTGTTACCCATGATGCATCTGTACGGCTTTACTGCATGTCCATGTTGGTGGTAGGCTTTTGTTTCATGTTCTGTTTGTAAGATAATAGTTAAAAAGATAGAGATTAGTCATTGTTAAAGCAGCAGTGGCCAAAGATGTTTGTGGTTAAAAGGTCAACTTTAACACGCTTTTAATTTAGACTAATTCAGTAACTGAACTAGAATTAGAACTAGCAGAAAAAAAAAATCAAACATCTCCAATCTACTCACGTAAACGCAGTCTGGATTTATTGCGATCCAAATCTTTTAATTTTACACATGAATAACATGATTTGAGACGAGTAACAGTGAACTATTAAAATCATAGAATTAACTGTTGTATTCATTAATAAATTAGCTTCATTTTTTAAGTTAAAATGATATCAAGTCCCCCCCTTCAGTTACCTTTAATCTCTGGGACAAACACGACTAACTAACACTTCACTTCTAAGGATTCCAGTTCCTAGAGAGCATGCTCCTCTGTTCCAGTATCTTTGAAGTGATGGTTGTTAAAGCCCTCAATACATCTCAGAGTCACAGATGTATTTGAACCCTTCACCCTGTAGTAACTACTTATATAAGGCTGCTTTAGTGTCTTGTCACTTGTATTTTGACTGTAACTCCTCACCACTTACCCTAGATTACTTACCTCTCTTTCTGAAGTGCAACAAGGATGAATAGAATGGCCCCAGGTACGCAAGTTAACCATTCTGCATGACTGAGCAACCTTCACCCTGAGGGTCCCGTCTCATAACCCTGTCCTCTGTGGACACGCTTATGAAGATGGGAGTTTGTTTTCTATTTCTTTTCTTTCTGTCACAATCTTCAGACACCAAAGCAAACCATGCCTCCCTTTTCAGTTTTTGCTTTCCTTTTTGGGGAAGCAAAATGTTGAGTGCTGCTGCTGCCTCCTCCTCCATGATCAGGAACCATCTTCTCACTGCATGAGGTTGACGAGAAACCACAAACCCCCCCCCTCCCCCCACCTGCTCTCTATCTTTCAGTCAAATCCACAGTTTTTAAGTTCCTTCCTGCCATTCTGTTTCTTCATGGCTCCCTTTGTTTGGTTCCAACATTGCGACACGGTTTGCATCGTGTGAGAGGATTGGTGTGTTTGGGCATCTACCCTCCCCTTTGACCCCCCTCAGGTGACCGTAGCAGACGCTGAAGCCGTGTTCACGCTGCACATTCTCACCTTGACGGCCTGGTGGCTGTTGAGAGCTGCCGTTTTGGACCAATCATTGACCATTGAAAAGGTTTTCAAGACCACGAAGACTGTTTTGTAAAGTTCTTGTTAAACTGGTGTTTGATCGACTTCTGTTCACTGACCAGGAAAATCTAAAAAGCTGTGCAGCGTGAACTCAGCTTCAGATGTCGCTCTTGACCTCACATTGATTTAGGTCAGGAGGTTTGGATGTTGGTCAGAAATAATGAAATGTTTTTGCAACATAACAGCAGAGCATTAAAGGAGGATAAGGTTTCCCTGGCTGACACTGGCTGCCTGTGTTTCCATCACAGTGGTTAACGTTCTGCCTGATCACAGATATGTAACCAGTCTTCATTTCTGCAGCTCCTTAGGTGTGAATAATGGGTGTGAATGGTGTGAATGTGGCTCTGGTGTTTACACGGCCATGATACCACAACGGCTGCTGGAGCTACAGCGCAGATTCATCGTGGAACTTTGATGAAGATATGAAACTAAAATCCATATTTACTCCATTTTCTGAACGAGCCCCAAAACAGCAACATTTGTAGCACAAACAGAGAAGAAGCCTTGGAGTGTGACTGTGATTGGTCCAGCCTTCTGATTGGATCAGAGCCCTCATGTAGGTCAGGTCCTTTTGAATCCCCTCAGGGTGCAGCGGCATGACTCACATCTTTACAGCTTTGACAAATCTGTCCATCCCAGTGCGATCGGTCACACATGAGAGAGTGGGAGGTTTGACGGATTTGGACCCGTGTAGTTCTGTAGAGAGGGGACATGAGCTTGTTAAGTTCCCCTCCCTGTGACCACCAGGACCAGATACGATGGTTGGAGGCGACGTGGCAGAGTTCACAGGATCAGACTCCTGACATCCTGCTCCACCTCCGGCACTTCTACACATCAAATATCTGTGCTGTAACACACAGCCCTGCAGCCTCACACACACACACACTCACACACACACACACACACACTGGTTTCCTCGTAGCTGAGTTGAAGTTAAAGTTTGATATTACAACTTTGCCCAAAAGGAGGCGACGTGTGAAATGGAACGCCGATGTCTCTGAAGTTCCAGGTTTCAGGAGCAGGTTTACAAACCTCCAACAGAGCGCACACGCACACGCACTTAAACACAACTTCACTTTCTCACGGAAAAAAATTTGCCCAACTTGACACGAAAACTTTAGCCAAGTTTCCTTACAGCAGGAGGGCAACTGGGGTTGCTTTACTCCAGTTTCCTCCTGATGTCCAAGGACCAGCAGGATTCACGTTGGTTGGTCACTATAGACTAACCAGAGGTGTGAATATGAGCGTGAATGGTTTGTCTCTGACTCTGATGAGTTGAAGCCCCCGGTGAGACCCTGAAATTTAAATCTCTTTTCTGTATTTTAGTGGTTGTTAACTGTTGTTGTTGTTGTTGTTGTTGTTGTTGTTGCCTCATTAGCCTGTGAAGGTTGTAGAGCAGCTCCTGGGACTTTGAAGGCAGTAGAAATGCAGGCAGCCACTGTTTAGCTCAGCTCATTAGAACAAAAGTCAAATTGATCCTTAGAAGGAATTTCAACATCAACTTTATTTTTCTCCCACAGAAAAGAAATGGTTTACAGATGAACCGGACAACGCCTACCCACGCAACATCCAGATCAAGCCCATGAGCACTCACATGGCCAACCAAGTCAACCAATACAAATCCACCAGTAGTCTGATTCCACCAATCAGAGAAGTTGAAGATGAATGCTGAATTATGCCAGGTTTTCCACAGACTGAAGACATCTATTCAACAGAGACTGGAAGAACCACCACCACGATGATGAAAATATGGAGACAAAATACTCTTCACCAATTCTTCAAATGGGGGGGGGGGTCTTCAGCGAACCCAGACTGGCTGGGACCTCTGTGTATACCTTTAACATGACTTCCATTCTCTCAGACTATGTTTTAAATTATTAATGTATCCATAGAGATGTACATAATGACAATCAAGTAAGGATTGTACAGCGCCCCCTCCCTCCTACCCTTAGCACTTTTTTAAATTATTTTAAGAGTTGACAAAAAAAGAGGGAAAAACGTACTTCCTGTTATTCTTTGCAATAGTTGACCTCGTGGCGTGACCAGACTCCATGTGGTCGGGGGATGAGGGTTCCTGCGATTGTGAAACTGATCGTATCATCTTCCCAAAGATCTGCCCAGAAGTCCAAACCACAAACGCTGGGTTTCATTCACCTCATACTTCTAGTTTGCTTCTCTTCAATTTGCACTAAAACTATATATATATATATATAAAAAAAAGTTCTTTGACAAAACTGGAACCGTCCGACCCCTGCCCTGAAACGTTACTCTGAGACTGAGAATGGAAGCAGGTGAAGACGGGAAGGAAGAGTCGCTTCGGACGAGGTTCCAGTCTTGTTCTTCTACATCGTCATCATCGCTTAAGGTTTGCTTCTTCACCACTGACTCGTGAGTTAGCATCCAAAAAACATGATCAATTCTCAGAGGAAGGAGAGACGGCCCAGAGGTTGATGTTTGCTTGGTGAAGAAGAAGAAGGACAGAAGAGAGGAACCTACCAACATGTCTTCTGCTGTGACTCTGTTGCGGGCCCTGTTCATCATGGAAACAACAACGCTCAGGAGCGTTAACGATCACTGTGTTTGTATGTGTGTTTGTCTGTGTGTGTGGCGGGGGGGGGGGGGGGGCACCCTAAAAAAAGGTGCTGGAAATATCTAAGTGGTTTGGATAAATCCAAAAATACCCCCCCCCCCCAATACCCCCCAACTATGTTTGAGCTAACATAGAAGCAACCATTCGACACTGTTACCCAGCTGCTGAATCGTATCTGCAGCAAAAGTCTGTTTTATTTTTCAATTTTTTGTCTAAAGCGGAAAATGCCACATATTGCGTAAAAGTGGGCGTCAATTCTCGGGTCCTCCTCCGATTCAAAGCAACCGCCTGACACAAGGTTGGCACAGAGGTGAAACTAAACGCTTGGATGTTCTCTGATGCCACTCTTTATGTCGAGTCACACCTCTGGGAGTGCGTTTTAACCTTTTAACCTTTTAACCTTTTAACCTTTGTGTCGATGGTAAAGAATTTTGTTGCTCAAACATAGTTGGGTTTAAAAAAAAGAAAAAGAAAAAAACATGTTTTAAAAAGTTCAGCTTTGGTCCTTAAATTGTTACATTTCAAACCTTCAGACACCGACAAATCCCAATCAGGAATCAAACTGTAGGAGAGGTCATAATGGGCGGAGCCAACAGGTTGTAAAAGGACACGCAGGTCTGAAGATGACGAGCTGCCACTCAAAGATGATTGGTTCACAGGTATCACTGATCGGGCCAGTGTTGAGGTGGACTTTTCTAAATCTGAGGACACACTTCAACCCACAGTTCTTCGTCTGCACTTGTTGTCGACAGTTAGCACGGCTAGTTGGTGTAAACATCTGTAAATGTGTGAGGGAAGAGACGGAGATGTTGTGTGGACTGGTTACATGAAGAAAGTGTCGCCAGTGGAAAAGAGTGGGGGGGGACGTGGAAGGTACAAGAGATGGAGGTGGAGGAGGAGGAGGAGGAGGGGTCGATGGAGCTGTGGCAGCAGCAGGAGCATCTGTACGTCATTGGTCGTAAAAGTCATGTGGTCTGTGAAGACTCCAGTCCTCGTCTGGTCTCTACAGAGACTGTGGACGTTGGGGAGTGTGTCCTCAGCTCAGTGGAGAGTTTGTCACAAGATATTTCTAGGGCTGAGTCCCCGTCCACGGTGCGTCCACAGAGCGTCCACGGTGCGTCCACGGTGCGTCCACGGAGCTGTAACCACAAACATCAGCAGTTATTACTTTTAGTCCTAGATGAAACGATTAATGGATCTGATCTCAAAATCCTATGACTTTACTTTCTACAGAAATTTTTAAGACCCGCCTACTAATTGATTGTTCCGGTGTGAACAATGCAAGCAGTCCTAATTAGTGCTTTTGAGCATGCATGGCTAAAAAGACTGAAGCAAAAGCTAGGGTGACGGCTGATGCCTGATAACTTTTATAATCGGTCAAAAACAAATATAAATGCATGTGTCCAGGAAAAAGGTCCAGAAAAAAAAGGCTTCAGTCGTTGGTGAAAATACCAGAGCATTTCTGACCTGGTCTTCTCTCTCTCTCTCTCTCTGGGTCAAAGAAAACATTCAGTGAATAAAGACAGTGACACAGAGCCGAAGTTTAAAACTTCTGATCTGGTCACTTGCATGCCGTTGCCTGGGGACGTCACGTTTTATCTGAAATTCATATTATGAAGACAGTGACACAGCGTTTGCTGTTAGCAAGCAAGCTAAAAATGGCATAAAACGTGGCACATTATTTTGACTTCTTAAGAACCCAAAATAAAACCTTTAATAAATCTATCATAACCAACAAAAAACTGATATTTTTTAGTCAGTGTGATACCAGAAGTGGCACCCCGTTAAAAAATAGTGGATGTGAAAAATATAGAAGCAGCAAAAGAGGAGCTATTTGTTAGCAGAAGATGCTAACAGTGTGTAAATTCAAACCCAAACTTTTTACTGTGCTTCATCGCCCCGTCTCATCATCATCCTCCCTAACTACATCACTGTCCTCAAGTGAACTTTTTGAACTGTGATTACGTCGTCTGTCACTC